TATTTCAGTGTTGATCTTTAGAGATTTTGCCAGTTGTCTTAATACAAAGGAAAAAATATTTTTTCTGTTATAAAAATATACTTGTGAATACTTTGCTATTTTAAAATAATGAATCAAATAGACCTCCAAGTCCCATTATACTATATAATGTCGTCATATTATGATAGTTCTGAGCCGAGGTGACCTGAAGCTTGAGAAGTAAAGGAGAAGAGTCACAAAACACAAACGGACTCCTCATAAGCCAAGCACAGATCCAAGTAATCACAGTAAGAGGGGATTATTGGCAACACATTAATTATCCTGGCGGTATTAATACAATCTCTCTTTCTCTCTCACACACTTATGTGCACACACACATAAACACAGCCTACGGAAAATAGATCTGAAGGGGAGGTGCACCCGCACCCCCCCAACACACACTGGATTGCTGGGTTTCATGGTTTTGATTTCCATCATATTTGCTCATGCTGGTCTTTTCTCTTTGCTGTGGTAAAGTAGCAAACTGAAATAATGCATGTTAAACAACCTACCATGCACGGTGAGCTTGGCGCTCGTGGTGCTCGACCCTGCCACGTTGGCGGCCATGCACGTATACTGACCAGCGTCATCGGGCTGAGCAAATGCTATTTGCAGAGCGCCAGAGCTGAGGACGCGCCTGCGGATTGATTCCACGATTGCCTGCCCGTCTTTATGCCATGTGATGTCCGGTGGTGGGAGGCCATCTGCCTCGCACGATAGCATGATGGGTTTGTCCACAGCACTAACATATTCCTTTGGATGAGGGCTAATGACTGGAGGAACTAAAAGATACAAAGTTCAAATCTTATCTTAAAAGCCTGAGTGAGTGTACAAATTCTACACCACAGTACTGCTCTAGAAAAGTGAGTGAACACTGATAAGAAACAAAATTCTGACTTCTATCATACCATCAAAAAAGGATCACTATAGTTTGCTTTCACTGGAACATAAACTTTAGTGAGCCCATTTCAGAAAATTAGTCTCTATATAGTTAACAAATAAATATAAGTGATAGTCAATTTTAGATGAGGAGATAAACATATATTCATGAGGGTTTGCATGTCTGGAAAGTTTGGGCTGTTTCAACATAAGTATTTTCTTTAAAATACATGAATTGTGTAATTCACTTTAGGTACTTAAACTTCCAAAATAGTCTTGCTCAAGTTTTGGAAAATATTCAGCTGCTCAAAGATACTTTTACTCGTGTATTTCCTACAGAGCTTAGCATGGTGTATTATATACATTGGCCATATTTACTGAAGTATTATTTGAGTGAATGAATAAATAAATAGATAATGGAAAATAACTGTACAAGTAAAACTCTTCCCACTTCTTCAGAAACCTGTAAAAGGGCTTATGATAAGGATTTCCCTTCCAAGTATGTACAGCAGGCTGATCACACTTAGGTATTAGCCTATTCTATCGAGTCTTATGCACCATCATAAAAAAGCATGTGAAATAATTATGAATAATCATATCAACATTAGCATAGCAACACAGCAACCGAAATTACATGGTTGACTTTTTGCTTCCCATTACATACTGTATCTTCCAGGAGATAGTCTATTCAGAATTTCATGCTTCTGGAGCACACAATTATCTCTGGTTGCTTTCGGAATGTTGAAATGCTTTTAGTTGTTTAATGTGTTTCTTTGTCCCTTAATTGTTCTCATATCAATCATTTTAATTATTTAATGAAGGAAAAAAAATCCCTCAAATCTTAAACTGTTCTTTTACTTGACTTCTGTGTTTCTGGAACCAATCAATACTTTTGGGTTCTCGTCCTACTTGTGCTACTCAATTGCGTTCAACGTAGCTGTCCACTCCCTTCTTAAAACGCCATCCTCCACTAGCCTTGATCTAGATTTCTCTGACATATCTGCCCTCTCCTTTGTATTCTTTTCCCGAATCCTCTCCTTTCTCAGACCTCTAAACAATGCGCTGTCTTGGGACTTTGTCCTTAGCAATCTTTTCTGTCCATATTCTCTTTTCCTAGGTGATCTCATTCAGTCTCATGAATTTAAGACTGATTACTATCAAATTTTTATCTTAGACTATACTTCTCCTATGAGCTCCGAATTCATACATATTCAGTTCTCTACTTGACATCTCCAGTAGTCTTTCTAATAGTTTCAAATATTTAATATGATTAACAGAAATCATGGTTTGCTTCTTCCAAAACCAGTTCTTCCCTCTGAATTCCCAAATGGCACTATCATTTGCTTACTAGCTCAAGCCTGAAGCCCAAGAAACATCATTAACGATTCTGTCTTCCTTACCTCCCATTTCACCGGCAATCCTGTCAATCACATCTCCGAAAACATCTTAAATCCATCACTTTTCTCCTTCACTCCAGCAATTCACACCCCCACCCCCACTTTGGGATCATAACACCCTGTCCAGATGACAGTTCTTCTAGCTCTAGTCTTGACTTTTCTCTAAACAATTATCTATATAACAGCAAAAGAGGTCTTCCTAAAACCAAATCAGAGTCCTGACAAACAATTCGAAAGCTTCCCTTGCACAGAGAATAAAATCCAAGTTTCTTATGGTACGTTGGGTCATCCATGCACTAGCCCTGCCTACTTTTCTGATAACCCTCATGCTTTGTTTACCTTTCACTTGCTTGCCACTGTCTAGCCACACCGGCGTACTTTGTTTCCTCGCTGTTTCCTGCACCGGGGCCACTGCACGTACTGTTTTCTCTCCCTTGGACGCTCCACGAACCTGCCCAGGGCTTATCCTAGCTCACTAATCAGGTGTCAGCTGAAATGTTACCCCTTCAGAGAAGCCTTCCCTAACCATTAATCTAAAGTGGTCCCCAAGTATCCTGATTATTCTCCATCACGGCTTTTGATTTTCCTCTACATAGCATGTATCAAATTTATCACCATTTCATTTATTTGATAGTTTAAGTTTTTCCTTCCCCATTAGAGCTTAAAACCATGAAAGAAGGATCATGTCTGTAACGCTCTGTAACGTATTTTCAGTTAGAATAAACATTGAAAAATACAAAGAAATTAGATTTACAATATGCAGAAAAGTGAGCTTTGCTGTATTCATTAATTCACCATAGGAAAATCACACTTACAAAGAAATTCAAAATCAGCTGATTCAAATTCAGTAGCTTGAAACCTATTATTAGATCACTTATTCACAGAAGCAATACACGCAAGATACGGGAATTATATCAAGAAAATACCAGTTATATGAGAAAATATGAAAATACCCTGCCTTTTCTTGAGAATAATTTTTTTCCATCAAGTTGGTTTAACTGCAGTTATGATTTTTTAAGTGGACATTATAATCCGGTGTTTCATAATGTATCCAAGGTAGTATATAGAAACAATAATTTTAAAAATCACTTTAAATACATACTACAATGAAATAGAGTACCAAATGCAGATCCACAGAAGTTCAAAATACTATGGCATGCCTTAGTTTTCTTATATCAACAATGGCAAACAAAATAAAACACGTTAAACTTCCTTCTTCATAAGGGTAATGGAAAAACAAATAGGTTAATGCAAATTAAGAACATTGAGAACTATGAGGAAACAGCAGCATAATCATTTTAGATATATGAATATTTGTTATACATTGTTACAAATATTTTTGAATTGAACACAGAGACGAATTATTTAGGTACCTTGGACATTCAACTTGATTTTGCCCAAGGCTGTGCCAGCTGAGTTCTGAGCCACACACATGTAAGTGCCAGCATCCTCTCGGCCAGCTCTGGAGATCTGTAAGCCACCACTAGGAAGAACTGCATGGCTTTTGCCTACATCACAGTTACAAAAGCAGAGTAAAAAGAATTTTTATTGTCATTTAAAAAAATCACACTGACTTCTGAATTATAAAACAATGAATGTGCCTGATAGAAACAGTGGTAGGTACCTGAAGTGATGACATTGATGCCTTCTTTTTGCCAAGTAATGAAAGGACTGGGTGTTCCTGTTGCTTTACATGGTAATAAAATGGGATTGTTTAGAATGACATCTAGTTCGCTTGGTTGGGGCTGAATGACTGGAGGCTCTATAAAATATGATCAGTCGCACTCACTGGTTAGTGGTAGGAATGTCTACTGTAGTGTGAGTTTAAATATACCCAAATTCATAATTCCAAAATATCAGTGATTTGACTGTCCAAGAAAAAAGTGAATATTGGCCACCTTACATTCTTTGAATCTTGCTATTATAGCCAGTTTCCATTAGAAGAAATCCATTGGAAGACTAGAAGCAGGAACAGATTATAAAAATCCAAAAAGAAAAATAATTGTGAGGTTGTTTTTGAGTGGTTTTTCAGCTGTGTGCCTTTTTTTTTTTTTTTGAGACAGAGTCTCACTCTGTTTCCCTGGCTAGAGTGAGTGCCGTGGCGTCAGCCTAGCTCACAGCAACCTCAAACTCCTGGGCTCAAGCGATCCTCTTGCCTCCCGAGTCGCTGGGACCACAGGCATGTGCCACCATGCCCGGCTTATTTTTTCTGAATATTTTTAGTTATCTAGATCATTTCTTTCTATTTTTGGTAAAGATGGGGTCTCACTCTTGCTCAGGCTGGTTTCGAGCTCCTGAGCTCAAACAATCCACCCGCGTCGGCCTCTCAGAGTGCTAGGATTACAGGCGTGAGCCACCGCGCCTGGCCTGTGTGCCTTTTTTAATCTATTGAAAAATATTTTCCAGGCTTTTGTATTCCCAAGATATTATTATGATTCACAGCTCTAGACAGTACCATCTTTCAAGAATAAACATGACTAAAAAAGACCCCCAAAACAAAACAAAAAACCCCAAACCCAGCAAGGTTTTAATGAATAAAATAACCTTCCATACCTTGAACATGAAGGGTCACATGTCGATGAACAGAACCGGCTGCATTCCTAGCGACACAAGTATATCTTCCAGCATGGTTTAATTGGGTGGCAAATATTTCAATTGCTCCTAAAAATAAAAAAGTTTTAATGTATAGTGTATCCTTATTTTTCTCGTTCAATGAATTATGCCTCTTTCATTGTTTTGTGTGTTTCTGTACCTAGCATAGTGGTGCTTGGCTTATATTCATACTTGTATCCCCTGAAGTGCCTAGCACAGTACTTGATTATTATTATTAACAGCTTTATTGAGGTATAATTTACATATCATAAGAGTCACCCATTTAAATGCATAATTCAATGATTTCCAGTACATTTACAGAGTCGTGCAACTATCACCAAAATCTAATTTTGTTATAGAATATTTCCATCACCCCAGAAAGAAACCACTAATCTATTAATAATTTCTGGTTCTATAGATTTGCCTTTTCTGAACACTTTATACAAATGAAATCACACAGTATGTCGTATTTTGTGTCTAACTTATTTCACTGTGAGCATAATGTTTTCGAGATTCAAATGTTGTAGCATGTGTCAATATTTTGTTCCTTTTTATTGCCAAATAGAATTCCATTGTGTGGATATAGCACATTTTGTTTAATCCATTCATCAGTTGATGGACATTTGAATTGTTCCCACTTTTTGGCTATTGTGAATGATGCTATATGAACATTTGCATACAAGTCTTTGTGCAGACATATGTTTTCATTTCTCTTGGGTACATACCTAGGAATGGAGTTGCTGGGTCTTAAGGTAACTCTGTTTAACATTTTGAGAAAGTTCCAAACTGTTTTCTTAGCATAATACTTTGTGCTATAGAGCAGTTAACTTCTATGTTATGATTTAAATTGCTACCAATCTACACAGGTTTCCAAGAAAGCCTAAATACTTTGCACTGAAAGCAAAGTTGCATCCTGAGAATAAATCTTCCTCTATTTCCTTTCTATTGAAGAAATAAACCAATTCTCTTAGAATAATATACACATACTCATAAAGTCCCAGGATATTAGTTGCTACTTTAGTTTATTTCTAGTGTACCTCCCCAGTGCAGAATAAGTTTTCAGAAATACCAATGTAAATCACCACACTTTCATTTAGATGAATTATTTTTTTCCTCCTCAGTGCTATAAATTGTATAAATGATGGTTACTACCACGATAAAAAATTTTCCTTCATAGCACTTAATCACACAGCCTTGCCTTATCCACTCAGTTTTAAAAGCCTTGAAACAGAACCCTGTCTTAGCTTTATAGTCTCAAAAACTTTTAGACTATATATATAGCCTGTCTTAGGTACTACATGTTTGATAAATGAAGAGGCATTGTATTTCGCTAATGAAAGAAGTGTGGTTCATTCACAGGTAACGAAAGAATTTGTTAAACCTTAGGTTTAGTAAATATACACATAAATACCAGGGGTAATGCTTATTATATTTGTATCAGTCTTACGATATTATTTGCTATTTTGTTTCCAGACTTCTTTTTTTTCTCTTCCTTTCCCTAGCTCCCCTTCCTACTCTAATTGCATTTTTTCCAGATGCTTAAGTCCAGAAATACATGCATATTTCATTCTCTTATTTTGGTATAACAAAATGCCAGGTAAGGCCACCCATTAATAACTAATTCAATCAATAGATGGAATCGCTGGGCTCGGTCTTACCTGAGGATAGAATTCTATAGCCATCTCCTCTGGGAAGCAGTCTTATCCCATTTTTAGTCCAGTGAATCGAGGGAGATGGAACTCCTGAAGCAGTGCAGGTGATTACTGCTGGGGCATGCGTGGTTACTAGGACGTCCGCAGGCTCATCAGCTATGGAAGGTGGAACTAAAACAGTAACAACAAAAAGAAAAAAACTACACGTTTCTAAGCCTTACAGATTTCCCAAGTCTTATCATACCTTTTCCTCTTTCTGCTCTGAAAGTAAATGTTAGGTAAACAGGAAAGGAAACTCTCCTGTGAAGCAGGGGAATGATGAAGAGATAGCATTATAATAACTTGCAATCCAGGCTGTGAGCCAGTTCTACCTTGGACAGTGAGATCCACGGTTCTCTTATCCTCTCCAGCATCATTTGTCACAGTGCACTCATAGGTTGCAGTGTCATCCACAGAAGGAGATATAATCACTAGTGAACCTGAAGAAAGAAGCCTAGAAGACAGATTTCAAAGCATGAGATACTATATATAGGATTTCATAAATTTCTCCAGTTGGTTCAACGGGGTACCATGTTGAAAACTGACAGAATTCATATGAACTCCTCCTGTATGTTAGAATGAGCATCATTTCTCTGATGCAAACTTTGTGCGTTAGATTTTAAGTTTATATAGCAGGGTTAATAGGGCCTGAAACTGGATATTTACAGGAGGCAGTTGGTTGGTAGGATTGTCTGGAGGGAATCTTGCATTTTCTGAATGTTTATATAATGATCAACCTTGCTCTCCTGGGAGAAATACAGCGCAACGATGATGGCCACTGTTTATTGAGTATTGAATACATTCCTGGAACCATCTCAAATGCTTCACATAAATTATCTTTAAATTTAACAATAACTTTGCAGATTGGTATTTGATTATTTCCATTGAAAGATGGGTGACTGCAGGTTCGTCTATCTCACTCCTTTTCCTGCTTCACATGTTTCCTTAAATGTGATGGCTACCTTGGAGATGCATTTTATTTATTTACATATATGTATAAATATATATATACACAAACACACACACACACTCAGAAGGGTGAGGGGGTGGGAGGGGTGGAGGATAAGAAATCATTCAATGGGCACAAGATATATTATTCAGGTGATGGATACCCTAAAAGATTGACTTGACCATTATGCAATCTATGCATGTAATGAGATTGCACGTATACCCCATAAATTTATATAAATGATAATTTTATATATATAAAATATCAATTCAAAATTAAAGCAATCTGGATCCTTGGGGTGGGGAACCTGAACCTGTGGCTTTGGGGCCACATGTGTCCTTCCGGATCCTTGAGTACATCCTTTCGACTGAATCCAAATTTTAATAAAGGGATTTGTCCTGGGAAGTTTGGATTCAGTTAAGGGGCCACACTTGGGGATCGGGCCGCCAAGGTTTAGTAAATACACATACATGATTAAAAGTAAATATAAATTAAAATATCTATTCTCTTAGTTCAAACTGTGCACTGACACAATAGAAATGATTTGATTTCATGGAAACATATTTGATATGCTTTTTCACTCAAGAGCATGGCACATTTCCCACACTGTGTATACTTTCAAGCCACTGAACTCCCAATGCCAAAAGATGAAAAGGGTGAGAAAGAGAGAAATGATAGAATTTCAACTGCAGCACTCCTAGTTTCACATTTCCTGGTACATCAGAATTGATTTTCGTCACAGCGGACCTAAGAGGGCATTTGTTTTTAGTACTATGGCAAATCGCTTGACAGGATAACTATTAGCTCAATTGAAATTATCAAAAATGATGCTCACCTAAAGGATCAGAAATTCTTACTTATTTAAAGTTTAGGCTTTGAAAAACTGACATTGCCATGTTATGAGCTATAGTAGTAAAGCTGTAGCAATTAAAAAAATTGGATAAAATACTGTTTTCTCTCCCCACATGCTGCCAAATATCTACATTGTATTTCAAGCCATAAAATTTGATTTTTATTTTACAACTAAAGCTTGTATTTATTTTTACAGAATAGTTTTGCTTTTATATCAAATGATGTTTTTATCCTTTGTCTTTATAAAATTCCAAAAGGTGATAAACAAATAAATCTAATCCTGTAGACCTCACTGACAGTCATCCACAGGGTTTGTGTATGGAAAGGTTGCACCTATAATTCAGAAAAAGATTTTAGGCTGAAAAACTAATTCCATATTACGGAAAAAAAATTCTCTCTCTATATTAATTAATTTGTTGTGCTTTATATATTTGCTGCCCTCATTGATAGAATTAAAATGTTGAGTATTTTAAAAAATGTTTCTAAATAGTAGGTGGGATTTTTCAATTAATTTATCCTTACCTGTAGGAATTCTGATTTTGATCCACATTAAGAAGATGCCCATTTTTCATCCAATGGATTGATGGTTTTGGTATCCCAGTAGCCTCACAAGCCAGAGTAGTTTGAACATTTACTGTTACAGTTATGTTGGTAGGACCAGGAGCAATGGATGGAGGAACTAAAACAATATCACCAAATGAGAGGAAAACACATTTAGCAAATAGTGTGCCATTTGACGTATTTCTGCTGAACTGAAATTTGTCGATGGAACTTGCCTCATAGTCATGAACACAGCAAGGCTCTGTGAATGTTAATAGTGCTGTGATGATGTTAACTATAGTGAGGAGAAACATGGATGTGACTGTCCATAATACAATGTAAAATGCTTAAATAGCTCTTAGTGTCAAGGTCTTCGTGACCTCACTCATTTAGGCTATCAAGGAGCATTTGATACAAAGACTGGATGTTGTTTATAAAGGTATATTTACCATGGACCTGTAGATCTATTCGCCTGCGGCCTGTCCCAGCAGCATTGGTAGCCATACACAAATACCGCCCCGCGTCGGTGACACGCGCTGATTGAATATGAAGGAATCCATTTTCCAAGACAGAGTATCTACAAGAAAAATCACAAGTGAAGCTTCCTGAATCAGCCTTTTTGATTATTCACATTTTGACTGGGAGAAATTTTAAAGACTTGATGAAATCCATTTTCAGTCTTTTTCCTGTTTCAGATGACATATATTTATAACACTCTTGGCTGAAGAAAAGGATACGATGCAAAGGCACATTGCAGATGGGCTTATGATCTTGGATGGTTTACAGTCATTATTTAGACATAAGCCTTAGGAATGATGTTTTTAAAACATGAAATTTTGATTCTCATATTAAGATGAAATGACTAATTCTCAACATAACAAGATCAAAATAATGCACTGGAAAAAAGATGCAAGGATTTATATTTTGGTTCTTACAGTATTTTTCATCCTTTTCCAAAATTGTTACCTTGCATGATTCCCAGCTAGAACAGCTCCATCCTTTCTCCATGTTATCCGTGGGGCTGGGACACCTTCAGCAACGCATTCCAATATAGCTGACTGACTTAAGAGAATGACTAGACTCTGGGAGCCACCTTTTATGCTTGGAGGAACTGAACAAGAGATGCACATGAAAAAATTCAGTTATACTAAATAACATAGCCTGAACTAAGACCCTGAAGATGTAATACAACATGAGCTTTGAGTCAAATGTGCAGCTTTGTCTATATTAATCTAGGTTAGTATAAATAGAATTGAGGTTTAATTCCTGAAGTCTTACTCAAGGTACTTTGGGTATAAAAATAAAGGGTAGATGGGAAAGGGAATTTTAAATCCCTGATATGGTGTAGGAAATCTGGCTCTCTGTGGGAGAGGCTTAAATAAAAATCAGCTCTGGTTTGATGCAAATTAAAGATGATATTTCTTATTTCTCGTTGGCCAAATAACGGTCAGAGAATGTTAACACTGGAACAACTTCACTTTAAATAAAGAACAGAAAGTGGGCTGTTTTAACAAAGAGCACATCTGTGATTAATCATGCAAGTCTCAGAGCATGCATTTTATTAATCGTTGAGTTCCTGTGGGAATAGAGGGCCTGGATTTTAATTTTAGCATTAGGGATATCAGTTGTGTGGGTCACCCAATATCCTGTAAAATTTTATATATTAAAAATCCAAAGGGAATATTTTGGGGAAAAGTCTATATTATCTTCCTGAATTTTGGCAAATTTTGGTATTTAGACATTATATTTAAGAAAATTACAGTCCAAGGACAGTCTCTGTCTAGCACATACATATTCTCAAGCCACATCAATAAAGGCGAACTAAATGATGGGCCATGTGTCATTCAGAGATTTAATGTATTCACTTCCTCAATAGTTGTGATCTTGATAACACAAAACATCATGATACACTGAGAACAACTGGACATGTATTATCCTCTAAGATAGAGTAATGTATCTCTAGTTATGTTTTTTGTGAAATTGAGTTAATTTGCAATGTAGCTCTCATAGAAATACAACAAGTTGTCTTTTTCAAAAGAAATATGATAACTACAAGGCTTCATTTAGTATGCTCATGAAAAAAAGTATAATCTCTGAATGCTCCGGTTACATTTTTCAATTGTGAATGAATAACTTTTCTTACCATTTACAGTGAGAATAAATTCTCTTGTAGTCTTTCCTGCAATGTTGCTGGCAACACAGGTATAATTGGCTGTATCACCTAGATCTGCATTGTTAATTTGCAAGTATCTCCCTCCAGATAGGATTCGAACCCGAGGTGTTGCCTAGATTCAACAAGTAAAATTTACCATGTAAATGTCAGGAAAAGAGAATAAAATATTATTTTATAGCATCAAAAGTAACTACAGTGAACTGTAGAGTTGCTTTCTGCCTGCATGCCTTGTCCGCTCCCCCCACAATTATTATGGTGACAAAAAACCCTGAGAACTATTTCAATGTGTGCAGTTAAGTCAAGGACACAAGCAGTGTCCCTGATTCCCCTGGACACAGTGACCCACTCAAGAATGGGCAAGTGACTCAAGTCAGGCCTGTCGGTGTCCTCCTCGGGACTTTGCTGGCAGTGTTGGGGGAAAGGCACGATGTTCTTACTAGAATCACAGGTTGCGAGGATGACACAAGCCTGGTGGCAGTCTTATTACGTAGGGACTGCTTGCCCTGAGTCTAAGACAAACCAAGTAGAGTTGAGATTCACAGAAAGAACACAGATGCTTCTTTACATAATTAGAGGCTCTGGATCTGGCAATGTCTAAAGTCCAAATTCACCGATTATTGTAGCCTATAAATTTCCCTTTTTTTTTTTTTTTCACTTAAGCTGGTTTGAGTTTAAATTCTGTCACTTACAACTGAAAGCTTCCTGACTAACAAATTAACTTTGGATAACTTAGAGAAAACATTACCTTCTAACATCTTTTAAAGTAAGCAAATAAACTATTTTGGTCTACAAATATTTTTTAAGCATTTATTTTGTGTCTATATGAAAATATAGCATAATGAAACCTAATCTCTGTTATTAAATGTAATTGAGGAGATGGATGTAAACAAGTATTTTAGAATAAATTATAATGTATGATGTTCATTATTAAAAAATTATTAAAAATGTCAGGTAGCATCAAAGATTGGTATTCTCTGGTTGTGTCTAAAATGGAAGCATTTCGAGAATATCCCAAATAAGATTTCTCTACCACACAGGCTCTGTCTCAGATAGATACATATTTCTAATGAAAAAAAAAATGTTCACACTAAAATACGTAGTTCAGGTCCATTTATTTTAAAAGTTCACATGTTTTCTCTAGGCCTTTCATTGCTATTGGAGCTAGTAGTGAAAAAATTATGTTACCTCTGAAGACAATAAGTGATTTCTTAAATATAGATGTTAAGTTCTGTGAAACATTTTAATTTTTAACTTTTATATGGGTCTAGCAGGATTTTAGGCTAATAAAAGCTTTCAGAGTGATTTGAACAATGTCCTTCTTACATGAGTATCAGTAAGTTCTCCTAACTTATTGTCTCACCACAATTTTCTCTGGTTTCCTTTCCATTTTTCCACTCTTCCAAATTTACTTCTCTTCTCAGATAGAACCTCATTCTTAGCTGAAGACCTTGCTTCCTGTTCCGCTGAGAACATTGAAGCCCTGTTTCTGCAATTCTCTCCTCCTCCCACCTTGGATATGAATACAACCTTCCTTTCTATTTCCCCATCTCTGCACAAAATGATCGACTCCTCTGGCCAAGGCTAATTTCTTCACTTGTGTCCTGGGTCCCATTCCTCCCCGATCCAGTACACCTTGCACTAGACACCTCTCTCTCTCTCTCTCTTTCCCATATCTCAAAACTCTTTTTTTTCAGCAAATAAACATATAAAAATCTCTTTTATCTTTAAAGAATAGTCCACACTTCTTTCTACTTCCTCTCCTACTAATTTCCCAAACAACTATAATCTGTCTTCTACTTTGGTCACTCTATTGAAGAACCATTGCTCAGATCTTTAATCACCTCGATATATTGCCAAAGCCAATGAACACAACTTAATGTGTACCGCATGTGGGCTCTGTTAACCAATCCCTCTCTTTTCTTTGGCTTTGAGTACACCAATGTCTCCTACTTTTAATCCTATCTTTCTCAGTCCTCCTTCTTGGTCCCATTCATCTTTTATTTTTCCATTGCTCACCTTGTAAGTATCACTGTTGCTTAGAGCTTTATTTTCATTTAACTGGTCTTCTCGTACTCTGTGTTTTCTGGTCAACCTCATAAAAACTTATGACTTCAACAGTGGTTTATACTATGAGGATAACACATCAAAGACTTTACTTTTGGGGGCAATATGGACTACCGAATCAAAGCCTTTTTTTGGATAAAATATGGACCAGTATTTTTTAATGATTTCTAGAATCTCTCCTTGATTATATAGATACTGAATTATATAGATAATTCAAACTTAAAATATCTAAACCCGAACTCATCTTTTTTCATCACTGGTGAACCCACCGTTCCCTAGTACTGACATCACTTGGTCACATCTGGGATCAGCCTTAGACTTCTCCGTCATCGACATTCGCTCAGTCCTTACCTTCCCTCCTAATGCTCCAGAGTGAGGTGCTTGGGAGGTGAGACTATGGAGGGAAAGTCAGAGTATGAAGGGCCTTGTGAGCAAAACTGGGTAGTTTAACCAGAATCCTGAAATCTATGGGGAACCATCAAAGAATTTTAATCAAGGTCTACTATAGCCGTAACAAACTACGCAGTTCTCAGAACTACAGCATTCCTTTTCTTGTAATGGCTTCGAATATGCCATTACCTGTGATTAGAATCCCTTTCTTACCCCCTCTCACCTAATACATAACTATTCTTTAAAACTGAACTCACCCTTTCTAAGAGGCTTCCCTGGGCTGTTCCTTACCCTTTGGTCTGAGTTATTTGCTTCTCCCCTCTGTTTCTATAAAATGCAGTACATCCCCCTAACACACAATTCATTGGTAGTATTCATTCTCGAATCTTTGACTTACCTCTCTGTCTTTTCAGATAGTCTGTGAGCACCTTGAGAGTCAAGACTATTCTCAGTAGCGATCACAGTGCCTGGCATCATAGCAGGCACACAATAAATAGAGAAGCTGAAGCACGGAAGGGTTAAATGATACGCATGATGATTTAGCATGTAAGCAACTCTCAGAACCCAGTCTCTCCCTGTTTGGTCTTTGTGTGGTTTGGTGGTTGTGGAAGTCTTTACGCCTTCGGTGTTTGGGGACATAACTGCTTTAATAATTAACTGCTAGAAACACAGTGTAGGTTACGATAATAGTATAAAGAAGAACAAAGAAGAAAAAAAATGATAAGTAACTAACTACTGGGAGTCCACACCAAAGCTTTCAGCCAGCGCTGAAAGGCTACTAAAGATCCTGGGCTGTGACACTCTGTGACAGCAGATAGGTACTGCCTGAGCATGGAAAGCTTCAGAGAGCCAGTAGCTGGTTCTTTGAGGACTCCAGTCCCAGACACCCGGTATCCATGGGTATTACACAGATTTCTCGGGTCACTCCTGAGGTCCAAGTTTAGACCAGAGAAAGTCAGTAAAAGATGAGTTCACCCTGGAGACGTGGCAGGACAGTTCTGTTATTTTGACACTCTGAGGATTTCTTCCTTCTTAAGTTTAGAAATAACTGAGTGCTCCAAATAGGTCTTGAATCCATGGGCACCAGGAAATTATATACCTGGGCCAGTTTCCAGAGTATCATGATCTAAATACCTTTCTTTTGACCCATAACCAAATACTGTCCCAGCAAAGGCTGAGAAAACAAAGCTGATTAAAAGACCCTGTGTCCACCTCTGCAATGTTGAATAACTAGTAGCCTGATGTTATTTGGTTTTGTCTACCTAGCAAAGGATCCACAGCTAATTTTTTGTTTGTCTCAAAAAAGGAATCTGTGGAATTTAGCAAAAGATTTACCTGTAACCGTTCTCCATTTTTGAGCCAAGTAATCACAGGTGGGGGCACTGCATCCGATTTGCATTCCAATGTCACTTGTCTGTTCTGTAACACGGAGGAATCCTGGGGCTCATCAGTTCCAGCAATATTAGGGGGAACTAGGTATGAGAAGAAATATGTTAAAGGATTTCAAAAAAGGAGATGTAAAAGATCTGAATTATCATACGTGTTCAACAAATGTTGGTTCTGTTATATGAAACAAGACGCATAAACTTAAAACATTACTCATTTAATTTATAGTGCAGATAATTATAAACAGTGGAATTTTTTTTACCTTATTCAGCACTTTCACATACATTAAGTAATGAAATCCTTCCAACAACTGCATGAATGACAGGATAAGTATTATAATATAATCACATTATAATCACCATTGGACAGGTAAAGAAACTAAGGCCCAAAGAAGGGGTCCCTTGTCCAGGCTCTACACTTGGTAATAATTTTTTCTGAACATAAGATTTTAAAACTACCAAATCAAGGAGTACCCATGGTAATATTCAGAAATGTATATATACTTTTCTTAATATACAAAAATGTATTTTTGTGACTTTATTTTTTAGCAAAAAATACGAACATTTTCATTTTTCCCTTTTTTTTTTTAACAGATATTTTAGATTGCCTAAAGTCTGGTGCCTCCACTGGGGACTTTTTGTGACTTTTATATACAGACTTTATGTGTCAATTAATGGCAGGTCTAATTTGCGTTTGGGACTGCAGGGGTACTTAAATCCCAGACAGTTTGCACTGCCTAGTCATTTAGGCTATGAGAATGAAACAAAGATCTTCAGTTTAGTTTTTCAAATATTCCTCCCCATGAAGAGTAATTCCCATTTCTATGTCAAAGCAGTTTTGGACAGAGTCTGATTGGCCCAACTTTTTTAGGAAGTAATTTGGCAATAAGCTTCAACATCTTTAAAAGTATGTGTGTGTGCATATACACATGGTGTAACCAAGCAACTGTACTTACAGAAATGTCTCAAAATAAAGGGAACAGGCCAACATGTATATACCAAGATATCTACAATAGTGTTGTTCATATTGGTGAAAATATAGAAACAGCCTAAATATCCAAAAATGGGGAGTAAAATGGGACACTATGCAATTACTAAAAACGATGTTATAAAAATATATTTATTGACATGAAAATACATTCTCCATACCATTAAGATAAAAAGCAAGTTAAATACTATATGTACAGAATATATACATACACATATATACACAATATGATCACATTTTTGTGACAAAACATTTATGTGCAAAAAAGTTTTATCTATGTTGTGAGATTACAGATTATTTTTATTCTCCTCATCATAATTTATATAACTCAAAAAAAATCACTTGAACTATCCCCAAAGAGCACTTGATCAGTCAAATTAAGAATCAGATTTACAATATACCTATTTTCTAATTTATAAACATATCTTGTGATGTGCTATGGAGTTGCCCCATGTTCTGTAAATTATAGCTTCTAATTAAGTGTGTGTATGATGGACTGTAGGACATTTTGTCAAATTTACCATGCACTCTCACTAAATATTCTTTATCATCATCTCCTGCAGGACTGGATGCCAGACACGTATATCTTCCCGTATCCTCCACCTACAAAACCCAAATAAGTGAATTACATAATGTTAACATATTAGTTTTGGTGATGAGAATAAATATCCAGCAGCTATTTATGTAAAAATGAATGAAAAAATGAAGTGAATATAAAAATACCCACATAAAAAGCAAGATATCATTAAACATAAAATTATTTTATGTTAAAATCATAAAACAAACTTTTAATTATTGTGCTTGTAGTTAGCATTTTGATATTGAGCATTGATTGGCATCTGTATTATATGCAAACCCATGTCTTAACAGGGTTTCAGTATTTGATTTAAGAATATTTGCGAGTTAGGTATATTTAATGATACCAGAAAAGGCAGATATAGACCTAGCACCATACATGACAGACCACATACTCAACATTTGTGGAAGAAATATATATTCGTGGGTTTAAATTGCAGGCTGAGTTCATTTGAAGCCTTCTTGAAGAAAATGAAATGTTTATTAAATAAATAAGCAGGTAAATAAAATATCAGAATACTAAAATCAAACACATTAATACCACATCTTGGCTCTATCTTTAATATACATGACAAAACAAAGGGGTTGTAATATGTAATTTGTTATAAATAGGGTCAGACTGACAGCAGAATCTACTATTAATATTATCTGATTACAGCCAAAATCATTTCTTTAAAAATCCCCCTGCATGGTTTCCACTGGAAGTCAGTCTTCATTCATATGATTGACATTGTGTAGACGCAATCCATGCTTAGGTACCTGTGGAGCATAGTCTGGAAAACAGGTGATCTTACTACTGTGAAGAATATATTTTGGAAAAGTAGAAAAATCCTGTTTTTGTTTATTGTACTACTTGAACATTCCTAGAATATTGGAATGTTTAAAATTCTTACATTCAAAACTGACTTTATAGGTAATGGAAAAACTTTTTGGTAGGCTACAAAAACTTTGTAAAAACTTAACACTAGAATGTTTGGAAAAATACATAAACACAATTTTAGAAGAACAGCTCTCACGTAGTCATTCAAGTAAGAATTAAAAAATGATGTAACGATTCCTAGAGAATAATTTCTGAATTCTCATCATATCTTTAAAACCTCTAAAACTAACTCTTTTCTCCCAACTCTGTTCATTTCCAATTGACATTATCGCCCTCATTTGCCTTGTCTTCACCAAATTTGAACTCTCACTACTCTTAAATTTTGCTTACTCCAGGAAATAGTTACAGTTATTTACAGTTACAGTTTCTAAAGTGTATTTTGTTACTAGGGTATTTAAAAATTATAGTGAAGCAGGTGTCTTTAGAGTAAGATTTTGCAGAGTTGTTGACATGCATTGTGGCTCATAAAGGAGAGTAGTGTATAGGATATAAGGTTTTCCAAATCTATTTGGTCATAGAATGGTCACCTTGCCCCTTGGAATAAATCACTGAGCTAGTGTTTCATAAAAGATACTTTAGGAAATTCTTTTCTCTACAATTGGAATTTGGAATTTGCAAATTGTCCACACCTATTATGTGCCAGGCATAACTATATGTTGCAGAAAACTATATAAAGAGACAAAGTTCAGCTAAGTAAAATATAATGTTGTAAGTATTATAACAGAAGTATATGTAAAATGCTATGAAAACACAGAGGAAACACAGCAGAGGAACCAAAATCAGTCTTGGGACTTGATCATATTTCATTTTCTATGTCAATGCTGTTTTTAATGGTCCTATTATTGTTTCATATTTAATTATACTTTTGTGTACTGTATTTTCACTTTCCCTTGAAAACTGGAAACTTCTTAAAGGTTGAGACATGTCTTACGAATTCTCAACAATAGCTAAAACACGTGGGGGATGTGGTCATCATTTAACACTCTATGACAGTGGTCCCCAACCTCTTTGGCACCCGGGGCCAGTTACACGGAAGACAATTTTTCGGGGGATGTGGCGTGGGGAGGTAGGCGGACCTCAGGTGGCGATGTGAGTGATGGGGAGCAGCTGTAAACACAGACGAAGCTTTGCTCGCTCACCTCCTGCTGTGTGGGCGCAACCCCCAGCTTTCCTAAGTTTCATGGAAGACAATTTTTCCACAGACCAGTAGTGGGTGGGTGGGTGGGGCGTATCTCTGCAGTGGGACCCTAACAGGCCACCGACTGGTACCGGTCCACGGCCAGGGGGTTGAGGACCGCAACTCTGTGAGGCCTTCATCTTGTTTTCCTGTAACTTAACTTTTCATTCTTGCCTTTAAGACCTTCTGTACTATGGCTGGAACTTCCCTTTCAAGCTTTATCTATCGGTACAGTATTTGTTTATATTTTGGCTTCTATTCCGCACTTTCCTGTCGCCACACTGTTTCTAATGTCACAAAATTCTTTCGCTTTCTTTTTTTGTCTGTTGAAATTATATCATTCAAGGGTTTTGATTCCGTGAGTGGTTTGACAGAGTTTAATCTGACTTTTCTCTAAGTTACTGCGATGTCTGGAATGGAGTGAGAAGAGGGGAATGGAAGGACGTGCACCGTAGCGCTGGAAACCGTGCTCAGGTCTACTGGCCGGGCTTCCAACCAGACCCAAGACTGAGAACGAGCCCCATCACTGAGCAACAGTGAGTACTTGGCAGCCAAGTACTTAATCTCTCTGTGCCTGTCTCCAGATGCACAGGATGGGGCTACGGACTCTGCCTCACAGAGCTGTCAGGAGGGTGGTGGGTGTGACAGCGAGCCCAGAGCTGAACACAGCACGGACATAGCAGACAACCTACAGTCCTTTGCTCTCTTCGTCCAGCCTCCCTTCCTTCCTCTTTTCTTAGTTAAAATGCTAACAAAATATGCTTAAATAATTTGTTAGTTTACATTCAAAGGGCAACAGCAGCAGCAACAAAAATCCCATCTAGCTCTTTTTTAAAGCATTTACTATATCTAAGCACATCATGTTAGATAAAATCTTTAAATCCCCAAGTGTATGAGTTAGGTATTATTATTACCGTTTTTATCGCCTGTTTACAAATGAGGGCATGAGGGCTCAGATGGAGAATATTTGTAATATGAGGTTTACCTTTATTAGTAGAATAGATAATTTTTACAATAAGACATCCCAGACATGCTTCTCTTTAACATATTCACATTTCTGATCAATTTCCTTAAACATAAACTAAATGAATCAGTTTTGCTGAACTTATTATTATTTGAAAAATTGTGTCTCTTCAAACTTTTATGTCTGCTAGTTCATTTTGGAGACCAAAAGTGCACTTTGAAGCCACATATATATGTATGTCAGATTGCCTTTTGCAGGTTACATAAAGGGCTACATAGCACAGGAAAGAACTTTGGGAAATATACCAGCACTTACAGTACTGTGAAAACTTGAAAAAATTAATGAGAAGGTATTTTACTTTCTTCAGAGTTTAATATGATATTTCTTTGTCTTCCTTTCAGTCAAGTTACCCAGTCGTGCATATCATAGAACCGATCTACCCTTGCTAAAGTTACTAAAATCTGTGATATATTTGTATTCCAAAACATAACTTCTTCAACAATTCTCATATATTAGCAAGTGAGTTTATAACCTAAAATAACTGTGTGAACTGTGACACTTACCTGAGCACTAGAAATCTGAAGAATCTCCCCTCCTCCTAGAGTTTGTACTTGATCTGTCTGTGGAAGGGGCCGACCATCTTTCATCCAGGTAATTTTCGGGGCTGGAATTCCAGAAGCAATGCAGGTGAGTTCAAGTGGGTTGTTAACAATTACTGATATCTCTCCAGGTTCTTCAGATCCATTAATCTGAGGTGGTTCTATTTAAAGGGAATCAAAAACAACAATAAAATATACCCGCTGTTTGATAAAATACTGCTAATTAGAAAAACTTGAAAAGAAAATCCATCTCAAATTCACATTCATATATTACTATAAATTGATTAGAACAAGGAAACTGAAATGATAATTCCTAGATTACCACTTCTCATTGGAAACTGTTTCAAAAGTGATGAATCGTGCCTATAAGAGATCATGAGGTAAATGGAAGTTCATTACAAGGTAATTTTAGGATAACAATTTGAACTCAGTTAATTAGAGCAGTCTTATTTAACCATAAAGGTATTAAAACAGTAAAAACGAAACCTATCTTTCATCACTTTTTTTTAGATGGTCTTAAACCTATTAGTGTGTTTTGTGCCTTTTAAATACTGATTGTTTCTACAAAAGCAACGGGTAAATAAATACTATGGAATTTTGCTATCATCTTTTCTATGCAGAACTTTGAGAGGAAACAATGACTAAGCAGAAGAAAAAATAGTTACATTTGGAGATAATGATTTCTGCATGAAACATATTTGTTATGTCTGGGCAGAAGTAACTTCCTTTTTTGTTATTTATACTTCTAAAATTACTTTTCTCAAGACAAGGTTAAAGAATCTAAACACTGGGAAGAAACATTAAAGTTTTTTTAGTCCAACTACCCCCAAGTTAATAAATTCCTCTAAAACAGATTCCCTTTACAATGACCATTCAAGTTTTCTATGAAACTTTCGTATAATAGTTCGCTTCCAGCTTCCTACTTCACAGGGCAGCCCGAATAGCTGTTGGACAGCTCCGAGGGTAAGCAGGGCTTTTTCCCCCTTTCCTTTCCTTCCTTTTCCTTATCTTTTCCCTTTTCTTTCCTTTTTTTTTTTTTT